GATTTCAAAGAGTGTCAAACGACTCCTGCTGATAAGTTTTTTGGTCAGGGTTACAACATTCAAGGCCTCAGTAAAGCTTTCCAAAAGTTTGATGGAAGACACGTGGAGGATATTTCCAAATGTGACACATCAGTGACAAAAATGATGTCAGATGCAATTCCTTATGTTGAGTTGTATCATATGTTCCTGTGTTTTAAGAGGTGAACAATTGGCTTGACTTTGCATGTGTTTGTGACGGGTGCAACCGATTGAGCAGGATACGCTCACCTTTTTCGAACACATAGTATCATCATTATCTGCTAGTGATTCATAAACAAATGTTACTGATATATTCGCACTCGTACAATAATTAAGGTAATGATTTTGTCGCTTTCGTGTCAGAAAAATAATCATATAAATACGTCATATACACATCTGTTCAAGCAGATGCACCGAAAATATTTCTTCTCGTAAAACAAGTAACAAACTTACAGAAAAAGATGAATCAATCAATTGCTCAAATCAGCAATAGTACAGCTATATCATGAAAGTACAATAATCGAGTTTGGACCAGAAAAACCTAACCACAAGGATTTTTTTGTTGGTTTGTTGTTTAACCCCGCACTCAGCAATATTCCAGCTATATGGCGGCGGTCTGTAAATAATCGAGCCTGGACCAGACAATCCAGTGATTGACATCGTGAGCATCAATCCAAGCAATTGTAATACGCTGACATGCATCAACCAAGTCAGCGAGCCTGACCACCTGATCCCTTTCGTCGCCTACAAGCATAGTTGCCTCTTACGGAAAGCATGGGCCGCTGAAGACCTATTCTAATCCGTACCTTCACGGGTCAAATCACAAAGGGGTGACCCACGTTTAGAATCCAAACTATCCAGTTACGAAAACCTACAAGGGCCAATGGCCGCTCCCACCGTACTATCAATACTATGTGCCCGTTTAGTCGTTTGTTCAACAAACTTCAGCAATTGTGCCCCGATATCCCAGACTGTCTCCGTGGTCCAGTTAATAGAGTGTCTACCCTGAGAGGGAAGGTCGAGTCTCGATCTCCGGCTGCGTTATACGTTATAAGATAGTACTTCTTTCCCTGCCTGGTGCTCGGCATTAAGGGGCTAAAACAAGGACTGGAGTCGGAGTCAGTATTATGTGTCTAAGTGGGGTGTCCATGTTAAACGGCATGGTATCTAGCTGGACTAGCACTAAACTGACGCTAACAAGCAGCCACACACACGTGCATGCATGTCGCCATGTAAGTACAATAATCTTGATCGCGACGTTAATCTTAATTCAACCTCCCATCACCCCGCATCTCCACGCACTGTGGTATTCACACACGGACAACGATATCACACATCCGCATCATCTACACACCCGCTACAGATTCCCCACATATCGTAGGCACCTTAAACACCCGAATAAACCCATACTCGTGAAGATCCGGGGTAGAATAGGTCTTCAGCAACCCATGCTGTAAAAGGCGATTATGCTTGTCCTAAAAGGCAACTAACGGGATCGGGTGGTCAGGCTCGCTTACTTGGTCGATGCATGTCATCGTATCCCAATTGCGTTGCGTGGGTGGATGCTCATGATGTCAATCACTGGATTGTCTGGTCCAGACTCGATTATTTACAGACCGCCGTCATATAGCTGGAATATTGCTGAGTGCGGCGTTAAACAACAAACCGAATAAACCTTGAATTAACGAGAAATTCCAAGACAAAAACTAAACACCTGAACTGATTACAGTGACAGTGCGTCTGGTTCAGGAAAACTGATATTTCTAGCTGAGAATGGTTAAGAAAGGCAACACTCTGAATAAACGCAGTGGAACTAAACTCCGTGAGTTTTGTCAAGGTTTTACGGTACACAACGCCAGGTGTAGTAGGCGGTGTGTGCACCTTTGATCAACACATTTACCTGTCAGGTGCAAAGGTAAATTAGGACAACATAACAAAGTTGATCACGTAATATGCCTATGATAAATGTTCTCTTGAAACCTGGCGGCCGTGTTTCTCAAGCGTCCTGCAATATCACTAAAGCCAAATCGGATCAATATACATCTGAAATGTTATATATATGGCATGCTTTTGGAAGCAAACCTTGAATATCGCTTCAGGTCAACATATACCGGGAATGTTATTGAATGCAAATACGAAATGTATGTCTGTGTCTGTGTGTGTGTCTGTGTCTCAGTGTGTGTCTCTGTGTGTGTCTGTGTCTACGTGTGTGTCTGTGTCTCTGTGTGTCTGTGTCTACGTGTGTCTGTGTGTGTCTGTGTGTGTGTCTGTGTCTTTGTGTGTGTCTGTGTGTGTGTCTGTCTCTCTGTGTGTCTGTGTCTACGTGTGTCTGTGTGTGTCTGTGTCTTTGTGTGTGTCTCTGTGTGTGTCTGTGTCTACGTGTGTGTGTCTGTGTCTCTCTGTGTGTCTGTGTCTACGTGTGTCTGTGTGTGTCTGTGTCTCTGTGTGTGTCTCTGTGTGTGTTTCTGTGTGTGTCTCTGTGTCTACGTGTGTCTGTGTGTGTGTCTGTGTCTCTGTGTGTGTCTCTGTGTCTACGTGTCTACGTGTGTCCGTGTGTGTGTCTGTGTGTGTCTCTGTGTGTGTCTCTGTGTCTCTGTGTGTCTGTGTGTCTGTGTGTGTGGCTGTGGCTGTGTTTGTCTGAACAAACTAGTTTTCAACATAAAAAGATTAATCAAGCATACATTTAAATGCTTAGGACCGCCTCCGTGGTCTAGTGGTAGATCGTCTGTCCTGAGTGCGGAAGGTCGGGAGTTCGATCCCCGGCCGCGTCATACCAAAGACGTAAAAAGACTTGTTTCCCTGTCTGGCGCTCGGCATTTATGGGCTAAACCAAGGACTGGTCGGTTCGGAGTCAGTATACTGTGTCTGAGTGGGATATTCATGTTAAACTGCGGCCTGGCACCTTAGTGGGCTAGCACTATAAAATCGGACTAGTACAATCAGCCACACACATACACGTGCATTCACATCACTATATAAGTGCAATACTATTGAACGTTTTCAAACTCATTTCACTTCACTCCACCTTAAAATGCTTCGACAAAATACGATCTAATATTTTGCAATACACGTCTCCTTCATCAAACATGTTTTTTTCCTTTTTAAGATAAACATAAAAATATAACATTTTATAGGCGTTTCCAGTTGAACTATGCACTGTGTCAAAATGTTACAGTACTGTTTTATCAGCCAATTCATGACAACAATGTCGTGTCACTTGGCCTATCGATATCGCAGGGTTGTCAACTACACATATATGGAACTGTGTGACCACATGGCCATAAGCTGACAGCAGCGCTGCCACTCCAACGGGGATTTCACTGTACAGCCCTTCTTATCAATCGCGCCAGGTTCCGACGGGGTTCATTGATAAATTTGTCAATCGTGATAACTCCCTCACCACCGACTGCAATGGAGGCACGCCGGATCGTGTAAAGCATGTAGCGCTATGTGCAGGCTGCGGAGGCGTTGCATCCGTACATTACTTGGTGATTAGAATCTCCTTCTGGTGGACTCTGTTATGACATTTGTGGTAACACCAGATTGTTATCTCTGATAGAAATGACACGACGCTCAACGATAGCGAAAACATCCATAACGTTATGCTGAACCTTTATACTCTACAAAGGTATGACTTTAATTGAGTGATATACGTCATTTTTCACCTGTATCACCCTGTTTCGCTGTTTTAGAACAGTTATCTCCCCCTTGAAAAAGACATGGCTCAGGTTTTCATCCACGAATATCATTTGGTCTGCCATGAATATTTAACTAAAATCGAGATTTCCACATACGCACTAACAATTTAGAAAAAAATCAAAACTATACTGAAAACCCTTATCAAAATTTTGACTGGAAATGAATAACAAGAAATCGATTTGGGCAGTAAAATACGAATGAGATTCGAACCCGTACATCATTGTTGTGTTCAATAATCTCGTACCTAAACACGAAGAACAACTTAATTTCATTTTTGTGTCCATTTTGCCAAATATTACACAAATTCGAATATGCGTTTTCAGAGCGCGTCAATATAGTTAGATCTGCCACAGATGATGCATTTAAACAAATCAGAACCCTGGATAATATTTTAAGACACACAACTCGCAACATTGTATTGCTTCAGTGTAGCTGTAGGGTCCTCGAGCCACCTGGCCTGCACGGCAACCCATGTCCACCTGTCCTGTCAGCGCACTATCAACACCTGCCAATCAAGCGCCTCGCCCGCTGGTGACAGGTAAGGGCAGGTATACCAGAGATACGTAAACAACATGGAGCGCTTTGTACTATGAACACAGTAGGAATGAATCGATCAGCAAAATATGGAGACAATTTCTCCTTGGTCTAAAGGGCCCTGATGAGGTGACATAAAATGGTATGTAGTAGTAGTAGTAGTAGTAGTAGTAGTAGTAGTAGTAGTAGTAGTAGTAGTAGTAGTAGTAGTAGTAGGAGGAGGAGGAGGAGGAGGAGGAGTTGTACTTGTAGCATTATTATTATTATTATTATTATTATTATTATTATTATATGAGTAAGTGGGGGCGATAGCAAGACTAAAATTTCAAATAATATGTAGGGAATATTCAATACTCAACAGTATTCCAGTTATATGACGGTGGCAATAACAATAGTTATTACATTACATGGTAACTTTAAGGCGTATAATGTTGCACTCAGATTTTAGACTCAACCACACATACCCGTACGTTTATCTGTTCAGGTAAACACGCCTTCACGATCATCTTCAACAACTGTCTGCGACTGCATTTACACGCTTTTCAACCCTCAATTATAGATTTCCGTATCCGGTCACGTGACAGGAAACGACCCGTGTCTTTCAAGGGAGACCACTCCCTGCAGCTGGAATATTTTCACTGCTGATGGCGGGCGCGAGCATCATGACGTCAATGTGTAACAGAATTAACAGCATTAATAACATAATGTACCGTTGCTCCTGTGACTAAATGTGACAGTTTGTGTTTCAGGCACTCTAGGCTCCTCCCTCTCAAAGTTACAGAGATCACAAGAAAGAAAACCACAAGCTTTCGACATGAAGTCGACTGTGTGCCCGAAACCTGTTGAACCGAAACTGAAAATCACACAAATATACTTATTATTTATTTTCTGAGCATTGATGCTTGTGCATTGAGTTTCAGAGTTTCTTCCCCAACTACATGTCTTAATTTATTCTTGTATTGTAATGTGAAAAACAGACAAATGTTGAGATACACAAAATAACTTTTCATTTTTTATAACGTCGATTTCCAAATACTATATTTTTTCACGACCCTTCCCAAATCCTGTCGTGTCATCCATCACCTACTATCTCGTATCAACCCACATAATAAACGCCCGTTCACTTAGTTCTAAATCTTCGTTAAAATGTTAAAAAGAATTGCATGGCTGTATTTACATAAATACCTGCCTGAAAACTCACTTCCCTGTACACGGTAGTGAACAAACAGATAAACGCCCCGTTGGGGGTGGTAATGGTGAGGTGGGTACGTCGTCCAGAAGATGAGCAGACATGATGTAACACACGGACATCCTGTACACCGCTACTTAGTCCTGCAAACACTTCAACGTTAAGTAGACATTTTAACGGTCTGACGTCACATGGGTGTAACGACAATGTAAGCTATCACGGCCACGTGGTTTACCGAGTGAAGAGGCTCTAGCCAGTTCATACATCTATGATTACAGGAACACTATTTTGAAACGATGTAGTAATTGTATAACACAAACGGTATGATGTAAATAAGGCGTAATACATCATTATCCGAGACTTCCGGACAGCGGTTCCTTTTCTCGAAGGGGCGGTCGGGTAGCCTTGTGGTTAAAGCGTTCGCTCGTCACGCCTAAGACCCGGGTTCGATTCCCGACATGGGTACAATGTGTGGAGCCCATTTCTGGTGTCCCCCGCCGTGATATTGCTGGAATATTGCTAAAAGCGGCGTAAAACCAAACTCACTCACTCACTCACCTTTTCTCGAAGAGTGTGAGGTCGTCACCACGTCATAGCAAATATGGTTTACAGTAATAATATAATAAACTTATTCATATACAGTTATACAGCTGTCAACTGCACAATATACGCTGGCGGGCAAAAGTATACACTTGAAAATTGGATTTGACCAAAACATTACAAACGTTATCAAAACATTACTCGGCTAAAAACAGTCGCCGAAACACTGCAAACTTAAGATCCAAACGCAGCTATGATATCCGCATCAAATAAATAACAATTTTTAGTTACCATCAAACATGAGTATAATATTTCTTTTGTCCTGTAGTTTATATTATATGAATCATTGCCGTCGGGGTACGATGACACACAATCAACCAAGCCAACGGTTTGACCTCCATTAAGTCTCCCTTTGCGACACACATGTTACTGATGACCTAATCTCGCACAGCATCCCGGGGGGCTATCGCTGTGACGATTACTTTCACCGATGTAAAGCTCGCGTTAACTGCACACACTATATCATATTAATAGTTGTCATCGCGTCAGATATGTCGATTACTGCTCAACATAAGGCCCGTGGAAACTGTACAGCAAGTATCTTATGAATAACTGTTTCATCAGATATGAAAATAACCGTTACATATAAATGGTATTAATATTTGTCCACCGGTAGATAATATATCAATTCATGTTTTCTTTTAGTAAGTGAGTGAGTATGGTTTTATGCCGCTTTTAGCAATATTCCAGCAATATCATGGCGGGGGACACTAGAAATGGGCTTCACACATTGTACCCATGTCGGGAATGGAACCCGGGTCTTAGGCGTGACGAGCGAACGTTTTAACCACTAGGCCGACCGCCCCCTCATGTTTTCTTTAAAAATATCCTTTGCTCTGAATACAATAACACCAACGAACTATTCTGTGCACTAAAATCTCTTGTCACTTCCCAGAAAAGTGTTTTAAACAATTATCACTGTTAGAACTGATACCAGTGTCTGCCATAAAGAGTCGCTGGGAGTGGTCAAGCTCGAGTCGGAGAATGTGCTTGCGCTTGTGCGCGTGCGTGTGCGTTTATGCATGTGCGTGTGCGTTTATGCATGTTCCTGTGCCTGTGCGTTTGTGCATGTGCATGATGACACACCAGCACCAGCTACACGCAACGTATAGTAGTATGATTATTTACGGAAGTACATTCCAATTATAAATGTAAGTTTAAACAAATATGCATCCACGAGGCGGAAGTGAGCTAGATTTAAGGTTTTTAAAGTGATATTTCCATAAGCAATTAAAGAAAGTGACAAACCGCCAAATTATATTTAGCACAGACAACAAGTAGTTTATTTTGGGATTTGTGTCTAACATCGACGTGATGTTTAGCCAGTTAACGTTTTTCTTTTCTTCCTGTTAGTGGATGAATATTGTTTAACGCCGTATCAGCAATTGTACAGCTTTTTTCAGCGAACTTCCTTTCAGTTCACAGGTACGTGCAGACATATGTCTACAGGAGGTATAGCTATACGATTCTATAATTATGGTACGATAAAATATCTCCGTTCATACAAACAGAAATACACACAAAAATACAGCAATATTTTGAAATTACTACTTTTGGCAAGAAACGGAAACGCAGGTGACACGTTGACAGTTCCCATAGCAACACAATGTCAGTCAAGATATAAGGGAGACGTAGCTGTGTCATGAGCACGCACGTAAAGAATGTTTTGGCCTTGAACGACGTACTTCCGGTGTCGCTGGGACACTCGCTCGCATTCTGACTCAGGATAAGAAGAATACAATAGACATTCATTCACGTGCTTTGCCCATGGGATCTACACAGTCACACATCAGTGTGTGCGGGACAGAATGTGTGCACGTGTGTCTGTGTAACAGTGTGTTCGAAATGTGTGTGTGGACAAACGACGAATATGTGACCGTCCTGTCCCCCTGGGAAATCTTTTTCCATATTCAAATAATTTCACCATATGCTCGTCGAACATCATGAGACCACCGGATGTCGTTGCTGATGTGACTTTCTTCTGGCAGACTATGCGATGGCACGCCACACACTCTAACATGATGATATCACGATGGCACGCCACACACACAACCATGATGATATCAAGATGGCACCCCCACACACTTTACCGTGATGATATCAAGATGGCACGCCAAACACTCTACCATGATGATATCACGATGGCACGTCACACACTCTACCAGCTTGAAATCAAGATGGCATGCCATACACTCTACCAGGGTGATATCAAGATGGCACGCCACACACTTTACCGTGATGATATCAAGATGGCACGCCACACGCACAACCATGATGATATTAAGATGGCATGCCACACACTTTACCGTGATGATATCAAGATGGCACGCCTCACACTCTACCAGCATGATATCAAGATGGCACGCCTCACATCCTACCGTGATGACATCAAGAAGGCACGCCACACACTCTACCAGGATGATATCAAGATGGCACGCCACACACTCAACCATGCTTCCATTAAGATGGCACGCCACACACCTTACCGTGATGATATCAAGATGGCACGCCATACTCTGACATGATGATATCAAGATAGCACGCCGTACACTCTACCATGATGATATCAAGATCGGACGCCACACACTCTACCAGGATGATATCAAGTTGGCACGCCACACACTCTACCAGGATGATATCAAGATAGCACGCCACACACTCTACCAGGATGATATCAAGATGGCACGTCACACACTCAACCATGCTTCCATTAAGATGGCACGCCACACACCTTACCGTGATGATATCAAGATGGCACGCCATACTCTGACATGATGATATCAAGATAACACGCCATACACTCTACCATGATGATATCAAGATCGGACGCCACACACTCTACCAGGATGATATCAAGATAGCACGCCACATACTCTACCAGGATGATATCAAAATGGCACACTACACACTCTACCGCGATGATATCAAGATAGCACGCCACATACTCTACCAGGATGATATCAAGATGGCATGCCACACACTCTACCGTGATGATATCACGATGGCACGACTCACACTTTACCATGATGATATCAAGATGGCACGCCTCACACCCGACCGTGATGATATCAAGAAGGCACGCCACACACTCTACAAGGATGATATCAAAATGGCACGCCACACACTCAACCATGCTTCCATTAAGATGGCACGCCACACACCTTACCGTGATGATATCAAGATGGCACGCCATACTCTGACATGATGATATTAAGATAGCACGCCACACACTCTACCATGATGATATCAAGATGGGACGCCACACAATCTACCAGGATGATATCAAGTTGGCACGCAACACTCTCTACCATAAAGGTATCAAGATGGCACGCCACATATTCTACGATGGTGCTGTCAAAATGGCACACCACACACTCTACCGCGATGATATCAAGATGGCACGCCACACACTCTACAAAGATGATATAAAGATGGCACGCCACACTCTCTGCCATGAAGATATCAAGATGGCACGCCTCATATTCTACGATGGTGCTGTCAATGTGGCACACCACACACTCTACCATCATGATATTAAGATGGCACGTCACATACTCTACCATGATATTAAGATGGCACGCCACACACTCTACCAGGATGATATCAAGATGACACGCCACGCACTCTACTATGATGATATCAAAATGATATTTCACCCTCTCAACCAGGATGATATTAAGATCGCTCGCCACACACTCTGCCATGATGATATCAAAATGATACTTCACCCTCTCAACCAGGATGATATCAAGATGACACGCCACGCACTCTACTATGCTGATATCAAAATGATATTTCACCCTCTCAAACAGGACGATATTAAGATGGCACGCCACACACTCTGCCAGGATGATGTCAAGATGGCACGCCACTCATCTTTGCCATGGTGATATCACGATGGCCTCCACACACCTATCATGGTATCAAAATGGTATTTCACACTCTCAACCAGGATGATATTAACATGGCACGCCACACACTCTACCAGGATGATATCAAGATGGCACACAACACACTCTACTATGATATAACGTTTTGGCACGCCACACACTCTACTGTGGTATTAATATGGCACGCCACACACTCTACCAGGATGATATCAAGATGGCACACAACACACTCTACCATGATATCACGACGTGGCACGCCACACACTCTACCAGGATGATATCAAGTCGGTACACCACACACTCTCCCGTGGTATTAATATGATACGTCAAACACTCAAACATAATGAAATCAGAAGGGCATGCAACACACTTTATATGATGGTATCAAAAAGGCACGCCACGTACACTGCATGATGTCACGATGTCTCAAAGTAATAATATGATGGCATTTATCACCTACGCTATATATGATGTATTGAATTATTTTATCATCCAAAACTGGCTCCCAAAGGAGATATCGCTGCAATGAAATTGCATCACAATGCTTTACAGACCATTGTGATGTCATTGTTATCATGACGTCACAATCAAATGACATCACTAATGGCCCTTTTTACACTTAAGACACTGCTTATTACTGTATACAAACTGAAAAAGTTGGAAGAATGATGTTGGATGATAAATAAAATCTTACCCGAATGTCTTTTGATATCAAATATATCAACACTCGTTGATAAAAGTGGAAAAACTCCGAGGCTTGCCTCTTTTATCATCTCGTGTTGATATATTTGATATAAAAAGACACTCGGGTGACATTCTCTATATGTCTCCCACTAAACGTTATTTATATCGTTTACGACTGAAATACGTATTTAACCCACCTCACTCACTCACTTCAAGACGGGACTTATTAGTCACTCTACCATTGTTATAAGAAATGATTTTACCCCCTATTCCACCAGTGTTATGTACAGATTTAGTAGATATGCCTCAAAGCGACACCCGGGTGGTATTCCTATTGTAAAGACAAGGTTAGAATGAAAATCTTCAATAAAGGTCACATAAAGATGGCATTTGTCAGCCACTGCACCTTACATGTACGGTGGGAGAGGAAACATGTTTCTCAGCGTCCATTCTATCCGAGTTTTACTCCAGTTTTTACTGTAGTATCAATGACCCGTTACTCACCCTCCCCGTACATCACGGCACACCAAGCCGAAGGGGGTATCGCATGACCAATGGAAGACAGTTCAACCGTCAATCCATAGCAGGCAGTGCACCATTGTGATGGGAACGGGGCCTGGGTGTCTTTGTACAACACAACCTTAGCACTGCGACAGTCGTAAGTCTATGTTAAAGCATGAGAGTTACGAGCACCTTAGCGCTAAGATCGCTTTGTACAACGGCACCCAGGACTTGTATGTACCCAGGGATTCTAGCGATCAGGCACATCGGAGGCCATTCTGCCTATGTGATGTAACCCAAGTCTGTTGGCGATTGAGTCATCGTAACGCAGACCAGGACGGTAGGCATGTTATGGAGCTATATACAGGGCACTTAAGAGGCCATGACCCTGGGGGAAATATAGGAAAAGCTATAAACTATTCATAGCCGTGGTTCATCATTGTCATGACATTGTCCCACGGTTCTCCTCAAGTTTTTATTCCGTGCTATCACTTACTTGCATGTTACAGAACTGAGAACACGTGTTTCCGGGAGCTTTGCGTCGCTGTGGAACCTACACCCCATCCTTTGTCGAGGAAATGACATTTGGGTGAGAAAGCGGAATCTATATTCTCCGTCGATATATATCTCGCCTTTCCTCCACAATCGATCACACGTCAAGATAACCGAGATTTACACTTTAAAGAAACGGAGCCTGGCATTGGGATTACCACGATGCATAACAGAAAACAAGTAGATTACATTAAACACCGCAGAAACCCAAACACCTGATATTGAAACAAGGATCTACACCAGACTGATTCGTGGGCCCACTTATAGTGCCCGCTGCCAGACTAGTCTCGCGTCTATCAAAGAGACCAGGCACTTGTTCCCAGATCGATACACAATAAGTAGTAGCTGAAACACTTGTTGAACTGCACCCAGTGTAGGTTTGAACTCTACGCTATTATAGCCGACGCAGGACAACGTTAAACCACATCGCGTGAGGATTGTGTTTCTTCGCACGGCTACACCGTGGCAGATGAGGGAGGGAGACCCGTTCTATATCAGTGCATAGTTTTTGAATTACAGAGGTATTACGACACACAGAATGCATACGGACATGTAGATAGATTCGAGTACGTACCTAAATGGCTTATTGTCTTATCAGGTGTTATATCAGTACAAGCACAACGTATAGTTACACGTGCTTATAACGCCAATACACACTGACATATTTCTCTGTATGAATGCGCAACATGATGTGATTATACCAGTTTTAATCATCACCTTTCTCAATGTATTAAGATCAGTCACTGCTATCAACCTACACTTAAAACAGTAAGGCATTAACCTAGAGAACTAAAAAGGCTTAAGTTATTAGCTGCAAATAAGAGTACTTCATGCTGCTCTCAAACATCAATTTGATTCAACTTTAAACACATTTGAAGCATGTGATATGATCTGATATATCTTGAGTGGTTTCAGTCTGCGGATTTACATAATTATCAATGACTGCCCCTGGGTAACTGCAATAATGTAATCAACCCATGACGTGTGAAATAAGAGGTAAAACTCCGCAGTCATTGTTCATGGAAGAGACTTGTAAATCCCTTAACCCGTAACTAAACACGTTAACGGCAAAAAACGCTTCCTCTCTTGTCACACAACAAATAGCCCTTATGTCTTTATGAAACGCCACAAAGACTTTGAAACACAAGACACCTTTAAATCAATGCTACTATGTGTAGTATACGCTTGCAATGACGTACCTTTTGTGGGAATCTCGTTGCATTTGTACTCCACGGAAACGTGTGATAACCATTGTCCATGCAAGGTAGATTTAAGACCATCAGTCGGTTATCGTCAGTCAGTGAGGCTCTCACACTCAGGGTCCAATCAAGCGAAGGGATAGCGTCATTGACTTCTACACTCAAATCTTCAACTGGCCAGTCCCATTTTGGAGGTCGACATTCCCAGCTGACATGTCGAGTTGGCTGTTAGTGGACGTGCATCAGCCAGCTGGTCTTGACCGTCTTGACAACATAGACTCTGCAAGAAGATTTCCAGGGCACTTTAGGGGACGATTAACGGTATATCCAAGACAGCTTCCGAATTCCACCATCGATCTAGTCGGGATCGTCTCTTGCATGGTGTAGAGGCCTGTGTGTTTGTTGGTAGGGAGGTAGGTGCCCTAGCTCGATTTAATTTACAAATATACACACACAGAGCATTTATATATCGTCCTCAAACCTGTCGATTTAAGCCAAAAAAATTCTAATATGTAAGATATTTGCGTATTTGGTGTACTTTTCAAATTTCACCATTTCACCCAATGCGAGATGTATATAACGTGTGATTGCTGATTGTGATGTTGTGTCACATGCATTGAGACATATCATTGCATAGAGCTCTACCGCATTGGTAAACCCTGTGTTCGTATCCCAGCACTGCTGTCGCGATCATCTCCAAATGGTAGGGCAGTAGAGAGGCCGGGGGTTCTATGAATGTCTGTCAAGAGGGCTAAAGTACAGGCGCTACCGGAGTATTTGTGAATTTGTCACATTCAGTGATAAGCTCTTGGACCGGATGAAAAGTCAGAAATGTTGACAAACTTGCACATGTAATAAACTTGGTGATATTTGTAGAAAACCCAGCCAGTTTGTTCGGCTATTAATTGATCTTTAAAACTACAAGTTTAACAAGGAATGTGGTTCAATGCGTAGTTTTTCAGTTACATGTTATAAATGTTTCAAAATGAGGTTTGCTGTGACAAGACAGGTGGGTTATAGTCAGCATCTCATATATTGTGAGGAAGTTGGATATCCGGACGTCATATGTATCGCCGTATGCTAAGTCGTCAGTAACTCGTGTCGTGCACGTGTGCGCATGAGGGTGTTGTAGACGTGTTATTCAATAATGTCGTTGCTGTGGCTGTTGCTTTGTTTTGATGTTGTTGTTAATTATTCATGCATACCCGCAGAACTAAGGAGGAGTGCATCTGTCAGTGCACAAGACGATCAGTCTTTAGGTGTAATTATGCCGCTAAACCGCTCTCAGGTTTTCTATTTGCTAGTGTTTATTTTTTTACTGCAGAAGCCTTTTTATTAGTTTTTAATTGATTTCAGTAATGCAAGGTTATGTGCTCTTACTAAAACCCTAACTGCAACGCCATACTCTACCGTCCTACCTTCCTACCACCATCTCACCCAAACTGTACACCCCTACCTTCACATCACCATCTCACCCAAACTCTACACCCCTACCTTCCTGCCACCATCTCACCCAAACTCTACACCCCTACCTTCCTACCACCATCTCACCCAAACTCTACATCCCTACCTTCCTGCCACCATCTCACCCAGACTGTACACCCCTACCTTCACACCACCATCTCACCCAAACTGTACACATCCTACCTTCCTACCACCATCTCACCAAAACTGTACACACCCTAACTTCACACCAACATCTCACCCAAACTGTACACACCCTACCTTCACACCAACATCTCACCCAAACTGTACACACCCTACCTTCACACCAACATCTCACCAAAACTGTACACACCCTACCTTTACACCATCATCTCACCCAAACTCTACACACCCTACCTTCACACCATCCTCTCACCCGAACTGTTCACCCTACCTTTCTACCACCATCTCACCCAAACTGTACACCCCTACCTTCCCACCACCATCTCACCAAAACTGTACACCCCTACCTTTCTACCACCAACTCACCCAAACTGTACACCCCTACCTTCCTGCCATTATCTCACCGAAACTCTACACACCCTACCTTCACACCAACAACTCACCCAAACTCTACACCCCTACCTTCACACCACCATCTCACCCAAACTCTACACCCCTACCTTTCTACCACCATCTCACCCAAACTCTACACACCCCACCTTCACACCACCATCTCAACCAAACTGTACACCCCTACCTTCCCACCACCATTTCACCCAAACTCTACACCCCCTACCTTCAAACCATCATCTCACCCAAACTGTACACACCCTACCTTCACACCACCATCTCACCCAAACGGTCGCCCCTACCTTCCATCCATCATCTCACCAAAACTGTACACCCCTACCTTCACACCACCATCTCACCCAAACTCTACACACCCTACCTTCACACCATCCTCTCACCCAAACTGTACACCCCTACCTTCACACCATTATCTCACCCAAACTCTACACCCCTACCTTCACACCACCATCTCAACAAAACTCTACACACCCTACCTTCCAACCTCCATCTCACCCAAACTCTACACACCCTACCTTCACACCACCATCTCACCCAAACTGTACACCCCTACCTTCACACCATCATCTCACCCAAACTGTTACCTTCCTACCACCGTCTCACCCAAACTGTACAACCCTACCTTCTGCCACAATCTCACCCAAACTCTACACCCCTACCTTCACACCACCATCTCAACAAAACTGTACACCCCTACCTTTCTACCACCATCTCACCCAAACTCTACACACCCCACCTTCACACCACCATCTCAACCAAACTGTACACCCCTACCTTCCCACCACCATTTCACTCAAACTCTACACACCCTACCTTCACACCATCATCTAACCAAAACTGTACACCCCCACCTTCCCACCACCATCTCACCCAAACTCTACACCCCCTACCTTCAAACCATCATCTCACCCAAACTGTACACACCCTACCTTCACACCACCATCTCACCCAAACTCTACACACCCTACCTTCACACCATCCTCTCACCCAAACTGTACACCCCTACCTTCACACCATTATCTCACCCAAACTCTACACCCCTACCTTCACACCACCATCTCAACAAAACTCTACACACCCTACCTTCCAACCTCCATCTCACCCAAACTCTACACACCCTACCTTCACACCACCATCTCACCCAAACTGTACACCCCTACCTTCACACCATCATCTCACCCAAACTGTTCACCCCTACCTTCCTACCACCGTCTCACCCAAACTGTACAACCCTACCTTCTGCCACAATCTCACCCAGACTGTACACCCCTATCTGTACACCACCATCTCACCCAAACTGTACACCCCTACCTTTCTACCACCATCTCACCCAAACTCTACACACCCCACCTTCACACCACCATCTCAACCAAACTGTACACCCCTACCTTCCCACCACCATTTCACTCAAACTCTACACACCCTACCTTCACACCATCATCTAACCAAAACTGTACACCCCCACCTTCCCACCACCATCTCACCCAAACTCTACACCCCCTACCTTCAAACCATCATCTCACCCAAACTGTACACACCCTACCTTCACACCACCATCTCACCCAAACTCTACACACCCTACCTTCACACCATCCTCTCACCCAAACTGTACACCCCTACCTTCACACCATTATCTCACCCAAACTCTACACCCCTACCTTCACACCACCATCTCAACAAAACTCTACACACCCTACCTTCCAACCTCCATCTCACCCAAACTCTACACACCCTACCTTCACACCACCATCTCACCCAAACTGTACACCCCTACCTTCACACCATCATCTCAACAAAACTCTCTACACCCTACCTTCACACCACCATCTCATCCAAACTGTACACCCCTACCTTCACACCAACATCTCACCCAAACTCTACACACCCTACCTTCACACCACCATCTCATCCAAACTGTACACCCCTACCTTCACACCATTATCTCATCCAAACTGTACACCCCTACCTTCACACCACCATCTCATCCAAACTGTACACCCCTACCTTCACACCACCATCTCATCCAAACTGTACACCCCTACCTTCACACCATTATCTCACCCAAACTCTACACCCCTACCTTCACACCACCATCTCAACAAAACTCTACACACCCTACCTTCCAACCTCCATCTCACCCAAACTCTACACACCCTACCTTCACACCACCATCTCACCCAAACTGTACACCCCTACCTTCACACCATCATCTCAACAAAACTCTCTACACCCTACCTTCACACCACCATCTCATCCAAACTGTACACCCCTACCTTCACACCAACATCTCACCCAAACTCTACACACCCTACCTTCACAACAACATCTCACCCAAACTGTACACCCCTACCTTCAGACAATCATCTCAACAAAACTCTCTACACCCTACCTTCCCACCACCATCTCACCCAAACTCTACACACCCTACCTTCACACCACCATCTCACCCAAACTGTACAACCCTACCTTCCTACCACCATCTCACCAACACTCTACACCCATACCTTCACACCATTATCTCACCCAAACTCTACCCCCTACCTTCACACCACCATCTCACCCAAACTGTTCACCCCTACCTTCCTACCACCGTCTCACCCAAACTGTACAACCCTACCTTCTGCCACAATCTCACCCAAACTCTACATCCCTACCTTCACACCAACATCTCACCCAAACTCTACACCCCCACCTTCACACCATCATCTCACCCAAACTCTACACCCCTACCTTCCCACCACCATTTCACCCATACTGTACACCCCTACCTTCCTACCACCATCTTACCAAAACTCTACACCCCTACCTTCCTACCACCATCTCACCCAAACTCTACACCCCCTACCTTCCTACCACCATCTCATCCAAACTCTACACCCCTACCTTCCTACCACCATCTCACCCAAACTCTACACCCCCTACCTTCTTGCCACCATCTCACCCAAACTCTACATCCCCTACCTTCCCACCACCATCTCACCCAAACTCTATACCACTACCTTCCTTCCACCATCTCACCCAAACTCAACACCGCTACCTTTCCACCACCATCTCACCCACACTCTACACCCCTACAACAATCTAAACCTGCCTCAACCCCTCAAGCTGCCACACTAGCCCCTTCCACACGAGCACACACATTTACGTGTTTCCACTACCCTCTTTCTAGACCTGCAACATTATCCTTCCGCTTACCCTGCATCTCTACCAGTCCAAACCTTCCCCACCCACACCCACACCCACCCCTCACCCCCACCCCTCACCCCACCCCACACACCCACCCCTAACGCCCCACCCTTCTCTCACCCACACAAGCCAGTCTCCCCACCCTACATCTGTCCCCTCTTTCCTCTTTACCAAACTAACCACTGCCCTTGCTCTGCCTCATATTACCCTAGCCCTAAGAACCCCACCTCACCTCACCACCACAACCCACTCCCACACACACAAGCGACTACCCTCATTCTCACTCCTACCCTAACCGCTAAAACCTGCACCTGTACCCATCACGTTGCCCTGACAAGGGACTTACTTTATGAGTGAGTGAGTGAGGAAAGCCCAAAGTCATGCATGTCTCAGACATTTACCTATTTGGTGAAACCCACAATCACCTATGTGGCGCTGACAAACCTTGAAACAGAATCGGGACGAACCGGGATTCGAACCCACAATCATAGGTTTCTGGCGTGCCCAAAGGGCGCAGCTCAGCACAGCGAATTGCTGCGTCTTAGACGACTGGACCTTCCGTTCCCTCCTGGCAAGGGAAGGATGGAGAGATGCCATTTGGATGCGGAATCATGATAATCTATATCACACATTAATCATGCTGTCATACTGAATATCTTGCTAAACGTTTGGATTAATATTCAATATATGATTTAAGATTCTGAAACTGCATTGATTACTGTCTCCAGAATATACAATTTGATGCACTCCCCATTATATCGAACGCAAAGCAATTAAAATACGTCAATATATTTCTATACACCTTTGGCCCTGACCTTTTTGGTAAATGAGTAATCTTCAGGGTAAACTCTTCTGGCGAAAGCTTTGTGGGTAATGTCTTGTTGTTAAAAGCAGGAGGGTAAAGTCTAGAGGATAAAGTCTTCTGAGAAATGTCTTGTGGGTAAAGTCTTTTTGGATAAAATCTTGTGGGTAATGTCTTATTGGTAAATCCAAGAGGGAAAAGTCCTGTGTCTAGTGGGTAATGTCCTATGGGTTAAGTCTAGTGGGTAATGTCCTGTGGGTAAAGTCTAATGGGTAATGTCCTGTGGGTTAGGGTAGAGTGGGTAAAGTCTAGTGGGTAATGTCCTGTGGATAAAGTCTAGTGGGTAATGTCCCGTGGGTAAAGTCTAGTGGGTAATGTCCTGTGGGTAAAGTCTAATGGATAATGTCCTGTGGGTTAAGTCTAATGGGTAATGTCCTGTAAGTTAAATCTAGTGGGTAATGTCCTGTGGGGAAAGTCTAATGGGTAATGTCCAGTGGGAAAAGTCTAGTGGGTAATGTCCTGTGGGTAAAGTCTAATGGATAATGTCCTGTGGGTTAAGTCTAGTGGGTAATGTCCAGTGGGTAAAGTCTAATGGGTAATGTCCAGTGGGTAAAGTCTAGTGGGTAATGTCCTGTGGGTAAAGTCTAGTAGTAATGTCCTGTGGGTATGTCCTGTGTCTTCTGGATAAAACATTGTGGGTAAAGTCTTATTTGTAAGTATAGCGGATAAAGTCTAGCGGAAAGAAACCTTTTTGGTAAAGACTTCTGAGTAAAGTTGTGTGGGTAAAGTCTAGTGGGTAATGTCCTGTGGGTTAAGTCTAGTGGGTAATGTGCTGTGGGTAAAGTCTAGTGGGTAATGTCCTGTAGGTTAAGTCTAGAGTGTAATGTCTTATGTGTGAAGTTTTCTGGTTAAACTCTTCTGGATAAAACATTGTGGGTAAAGTCTTCTTTGTAAGTATAGCGGATAAAGTCTAGCGGAAAGAAACCTTGTTGGTAAAGACTTCTGAGTAAAGTTGTGTGGATAAAATCTAATTTATAAAATCTTGTGGGTAAAGTCTTCTTTCTAGGTATAGAGGATAACGTCAAGTGGATAAAGCCTTGTGGGTAAAGCCTTGTGAGTAAAGTCTAGTGGGTAAAGTATTCTGGGTAAAGTCTTATGAGTAAAGTCTTGTGGGTAAAGTCTTGTGAGTGAAGTCTTGTGAGTAACGTCTTGTGGGTAAAGTCTTGTGAGTAAAGTCTTGTGAGTAAAGTCTTGTGAGTAACGTCTTGTGGGTAATGTCTTGTGAGTAAAGTCTTGCGGGTAAAGTCTTGTGAGTATAGCATGTGAGTAAAGTCTAGTGGGTAAAGTCTTATGGGCAAAGTCTTGTGAGTAAAGTCTAGTGGGTAAAGTATTCTGGGTGAAGGCTTGTGAGTAAATTCGTGTGGGTAAAGTATTGTGAGCAAAGTCTAGTGGGTAAAGTATTCTGGGTAAAGTCTTCTAAGTAAAGTCTTATAGGTAAAGTCTAGTGGATAAATTATGCTGGGTAAAGTCTTGTGAGTAAAGTTTTATGGGTAACGTATAGGGGTTAAAGCAGTCTGGTTAAAGTCTTGCGAGTAAAGTCTGAGGGGTAAAGTCCATTGGTTAAAGTCTTGTGAGTAAAGTCTTATGGGTAAATTATAGTGGGTAAAGTATTCCGGTTAAAGTCTTGCGAGTAAAGTCTGATAAGTAAAGTCTAGTGGTAAAAGTCTTGTGAGTAAAGTCTATATAGGTAAAGTCTTTTGAGTTAAGTCTAGTGGGTGAAGTATTCTGGATGAAGTCTTGTGAGTAAAGTCTATATAGGTAAAGTCTTTTGAGTTAAGTCTAGTGGGTGAAGTATTCTGGATGAAGTCTTGTGAGTAAAGTCTTGTGGGTAAAGTCTTGTGAGTCAAGTCTTATGAGTAAAGTCTAGTGGTTAAAGTATTCTGGTAAATTCTTGTAAGTAAAGTCTTATGGGTAAAGTATTCTGGGCAAAGTCTTGTGATTGAAGTCTTATGAGTAAAGTCTAGTGGGTAATGTATTCTGGGTAAAGTCTTGCGAGTAAAGTCTGATGGGTAAAGTATAGTAAGTAAAGTATTCCAACATCACGCGAGGAACCCGCTTTCGATTGGTTCTGTAATACTACGGAGAGTCCGTTCTTGGTGTGTCGCCGTATTTGTTGTTGGAATATTCAAGTAACTATAAGCGACGTAAATACATTAAGGGAGCGACCCTTTTCACAATATACAATTTTGCCACAACTTTTCAACACAAAAGAATAAATTCTCCGCGTGACATGGTGGATGTCCTGTGAAAATGCTTTTATGAAAAGAGGTCATGTTCTTCAGCTATCCTCCACGGAATAAAAATTGCAGTGACCGAAAAATGACAAATGCCTAAAAGTATCTTTCAAGTTACGCAGATAGGTGAGTCGGTCACAAATATTCTTGGTAAGGAAACAATACAATTGATTATTTTTTGTAGAAAGCTGTGATAAAAATTGGATAAAATGAATACAAGAGATGAAATAACAATTGTTCTAATTTAATCACTTATCAACCTTGGCAAGGAATTAGCCAAAATGGATCACGTTTCCTTTATGTGTATTTGACTGGGACTTTTCGTATGTTCCTTCGATCACTTACATGTATCATCAGTGCATACCTTAGTTGGAAACACGTACATAGAAAATTTATCACGTCCATAAAGGAACGACAAGAAACCGACGCCTGTTGTCCATCGACTGGATGCCTAGCGGGAAGGCTACAGCCGATTGTATTCAGGTTTGCATGTGTTGAGATAAACTACTGGGCAAAAGAAAGTATAAACTTGAAAATTGGATTTGACAAAACGTTATCAAAATGTTATTCGGCTAAAAACAATCACCGAAACACTGCAAACATAAAGCCCAAAACACACCTTTGATACCTGTGTTAAGAACATCACCATCGAATTCTAGTAAAGGTTTCTTGTTTCTTTAATTTTAGCCACCATCAAACATTGGGGAATACTTTCTTTTGCCCAGCAGTGTATGTCTTACGGTAATAAAGTGAGTGAGTGAGTTTGGTTTTACGCCGCTTTTAGCAATATTCCAGCAATATCACGGCGGGGGACACCAGAAATGGGCTTCACACATTGTACCAATGTCGGGATTCGAACCCGGGTCTTCGGCGTGACGAGCGAACGCTTTAACCACTAGGCTACCCGACCGCCCCTACGGTAATAAAGACAGGTACTGGGGGTGATAACGCATGTTGACAGCTTCTATATAGGATAGCAGGTGTTATGATTGACAGTGCAGACGGTTTGATATTAATTGAATGGTTGACGAAAATACAAAGACAATAATAAATGGTTTATATTTGCTATAAAGCATAGTATGTGTCATGCTTAAAAAGAGCACTATGAGTTGATATCGAATGATTGACGAGAATACGGAGCTATAAGGGATAGTACATGTTATGATTGACGAGGGCTGAGGTGAGCATATCGAATGCTTGACGAAAATACAAGGGTATAATGATAAATGTTTGACAAGTTTTACAGAGGGGTGTATGAAAAATAATAATTCAATCAGCGTATAATAGATGCTCATCAATATACATTCGCTGTGCAGAGTTGTGTCCCTTGGGCACGCCAGAAACCTATGGTTGTGGGTTCGAATCCCGGTACGCCCCGATTATGTTTCTAGGTTTGTCAGCACCATACCCGTGCTCGTGGGTTTCACCGAAGTGGTAAACGTCTGAGACAGGGGCTCTCCTCCCACATTAAGCTGACACGCCGTGATATGACTGGTATACTGTTAAAAGCGGCGTTGAACACAACCCACTCACTCACTCACTCATCAATATACAGCTAGCTACTATGATAGTATAATGCAGGAAATAAAACCGTATTTCAATAATATTTCTGTTATTACTGCTATCGCCTTCGTGGACAATCATCTCACTGCCGTACCGCTTATATCCAGGTTATCAGATAACTATTCTGCGCATGCTCCGCGCCCACCTGGTGCCTGTTTCAATCTAAATCCACTTAATAACTCTTATGTTCACATGGCGTACACGACCGATTACTAAATCAGAACCCCGACATTACAATGA